CTCATCGTCTGAGGTGTAATGATTACCCTTGAGGTCTCTCTTAAGTAGAGGAAACAAATAAAAATCACAAGGCGCAAGATCGGGGGAATAAGGAGGGTGTGGAATCGGTTCAAACTTCAGGTTTCGCAGAGCCTCTCCAGTTGCGCGCGAGGTGTGTGGACGAGCGTTGTCATGTTGCAAGATTATTGGTGCCAGGCTGCCTCTAACATGTCAAACTCAACATCAGAGGTGTTTTAGAGTCTGTATGTACTGAGAAGAATTAAACATTGCAACAAGATGGAACGGTAATTGTCTGTGGCAGTGATTGGACTTCTGCTGCATGTTTCATCAACAATTATGGCTTTTCCAGGCTCGCAACCACAAAATTTTATTATCCATCAATTTACAATAGACCTATCAACAGCATTGTCACCATAAACAGCCTTTAAATGTAATTTTTTCAGCAGTTAAAAATTCGATAACAGCACGCTGTTTAACTCGCATTGACATAGCACCAGAACATGTCTCCATATTTCCGCTTCTCAAAATATAGTAAATGAACGCAACAACCTCAAACTGTGCATGCACATAGAGGGGAAATATTAATTCCATATGCCACTTGGCATGCTTCTGAAAATCATTTCGTTTGTGCTCTACAAGCACGTGTGCATTACTTTTCAGCCTGCCCTCGTACATACTGAAACTTTATTTTAAATTAAAGCCAAATAATTGCCAGATTATATTGGGCTATGGATTATTAATGCTACTAATTACTAACTAAATGTCAAGTAATTTTGGCCTAGAGGTAGATGTTAGGTGTCATCTCTTGATAAATTAATTATTAAATATTAGTTTAATTATAGTATTAAATTTAGAGATATCACCTAATGCTTATTTCTAGGCCAAATTACTTGAAATTTAGTTAGTAATTAGTAACATTACTATAGCCCAATGTAATCCAGCAATTGTTTGCCTTTAATCTAAAAATCAAGTTTATAATTATATTTCTTTATTTTAAATATCAAAAATTATTTCTTGAATATGTGTTTACTGATGTGTGGGAGTTGCTAGTTCTGCCATATGCATCTGCAGAGAACATTGTGATCAGTTATTGTGAATTAGCTTGTTTAATTTTTTTTAAAAACAAAATGTTGTTCAAAATAAATTTTACATTGAAAAACTTTCTTTCCAACTTTTATTTTTTTTTTTACTTTAAAGGGATGGGTACTGCAAGATCTTAGTGGTTAAGGCTTTGTTTACATTTGTGAGAAACTGAGGGCTCAGCATAACAGTTTGAAGCCCTTCTTTTGGCAACGGTCTTGTGAAGACCGCTTACTTTGTCACTGGATGGCTAAGAGGGCTATAAATCGAGTGGGGACGTCACGGATAAGTTGATAGGGTCCATTCTCCAAAATAAGACAGGTTGACTGGTTAGCAAATGAGAAAAAGGTTACACGCTATAACTATTTAACAACTGAGTATGGTCTGAGAGAGAGATTTTACGTAAAATTCAAAGTAAAATACCTTGTGATGATTACTTGATGTTTATAGATCCTATTCATATGACTTTGGGGAGACAATCGTGGATCTAGCTGAGAATCAGGGGTCTGTAGGCTGTCAGGGAGCTGGCGGGTAGAGCTTCATCTATGCTCCTATTATGTCTGCCCCGATTGTCGGGTGCAACCCTTTTTATACGCGTTGCATGTGAGATTTGCTTCAGGTGACTTTAATTTAAGGTGTTCTAAGTTTGAGTTGTGTCTGGGGTTTGCTGATATGAGCTGTCAAGAACTGTATGATTCAACGAATTATGACTATTTTCTATCAGTTATTGTGGCTTGCCCTATCTCATAATTTCATCCACTTGACAGTTTCCATCATTAATAATCAACTGTCTTGACATATAAGTCTAAACATTGTAGTGACTGCTGACTTAGACCGATATTTAATCGGTTTTATCTATCAGAGTATTGCGAGTGAGTGAGAAAAAGGAAGTGGGGCTTTTCCACTTCTCTTAAGTTTAACTAATTAATTTAATTACTTAATTATCCCCTCCAGAATCTCTCATATTTATTACAGTATGACCTACTTGGGCAACATTTTCTTACCTCAATCTGTTGACAGAAATATAAAAAAAAATAAGTTTTTAAAACTTCAATATCATTGTGTGCACTATTTATAAGAATTGTTACATATAAAAAAGTAAAAAAAAAGGGCTGAAAAAATTAAAGTGAAAAATTGATGCCATTACATTTTGTTTCTCAATAACTTTTGTTTTTATTTTTAAATAAAAATTATTTTTTAAAATATAAACAACCTAGTGATGATATATTATTTTATATTTGATTTTATAATTTGACATATTTTAATAGTCATATTTTAATAAATTAAAAAATTATATAGTGATAGTAATGTTGTTATACCTTACATGTGCATTAAAGTTGAAATATAAACCAAATACATTTTTACTGTTTAGGAAATGAAAGCTGAATTAGAATTGCAACTGCAACAAAGGTAAAGTAATTATATATTATATTTTTTTATAATCTAATAATAATTTATTTTTTGTAATTTACAATTACAAAATAAAATATATAAAATTGTATAAATTATTTAATTGAAAATAATTTTTTTATTTTAATGACCTGAAACCATGCTTTAAACTTTGTTGCTGCTTCGAACACAATAAAGTGCAATAAATTAAGACACTTGGCAGTTTTCTCATCTTTAATTTAGTTGATACGTGTGAAAATATACATGTTTTGGACTCCTAAGCCCCTCTTCAGCCAACTAAAATATTAAAGGAGTATACAACACATATATAAAAATACATAAGTTTTCTAGTATTTATAAAAATATCTTGATTTAAAACGTACCTAGGCATTCACAAGTTTTACAAATTAAAGTGACATCAGCTTATTCTTAAGTTCTTCAATACATCTTCATTACTTTAGACGTCAGAGACATCGCAAATGCACTACGACAATTAAGCATACCGAACAATGTCCGATGTGAAATACTATTCAGCTCCATGACCTAGGGTACAACTATTATTAAAGACAGTACTTAATTAACCATACTTTCCATCTTGTATGTCACTCATAAATTAGTTTTGCAAAATCATTACCTTCGTTGATACTCATTCATAATATAATACAAATTTACATATCATATGACGTCTGTGACAATTTTACAGTTGTATATTTTTGTTAAGTCATTTAACAGTTTAATATCTATTATTATAAATTATTACATGGACTATAATAATAATAAAAAATTTTTTGAAGCTGGTGAACATGATTAATAATTAATATAAAATTCTTAACTAGTTTTCACTTATTGAATTGCTAGGATTTTTATTTATACAATTTTGAATTTTGATGATTTCTATACTTTCCTTAAATTTTCTTTTATATGTATCTTTTTCTCTGTGTAAAATATCTATATTAATTTTATCTATATTACAATTATTTAAAAGACAGTGTTCATGAAAGGCAGAATTTAATCTTTGATATTATAAATCAGCTATATGTTCTTTCATTCTTACTTTAACTTTATGTTTAGTTTCTCCTATATAAAAATTAGTATTTTCACAAGTGCACGAAATTTTATAAACTACATTTTTGCTTACTTCTTTCTATGCTATGTTTGTCTTTCTAAGTTGTTTCACAGTTAATCTAGAGTGTAGCTTTTCATATGTTGGTACGAGTTCTACATTAATTTTTTGACTACTTTATTAACTTCCTCATACAAGCCTTTTATGTATGGAAAACGAATGTATTTTATGTCCATTTGTTTAGGATCTATTCATATTTTTTTTATCTATTTTTTTGGCTATTTCTTTTTCCCAAGTGCTAAGAGTTCTGTTTGAGTATCCTGAAAGAATAAATTTTCTCTTGAGTGCATTTAAATGTTCAATTTGTTTGGTACTTATACTAGTTCTATTTTTGATCTTAGTGTATTCCATATTAAATATATTTTGTTTTATATGAAGTGGTATGTTAAAATTGTAGTTAACGGTAGTATTTATTGAACACAGCTGTTTAAATGGTTCAAATTTGAGATTTGTATTATTTCTTTTACTTGCAATATCTAAATAATTTATACTGGTGGTAATTTTATCTTCTTCTTCTATTTTAAATTGAATATTTTTATAGATATTATTTATTATATTTCTGATTTCATTAATGTTAATCTTGACCTCATCATATATTATTAAGATGTCTAAAGTAATAGAGATGTATTGAAGAAACTTAAGAATAAGCTGATGTTACTTTAATTTGTAAAACTTGTGTATGCATAGGTATGTTTTGAATCAAGATATTTTTATAAATTCTAGAAAATTTATGTATTTTTATATATGTGTTGTATACTCCTTTAATATTTTAGTTGGCTGAAGAGGGGCTTAGGAGTCCAAAACATGTATATTTTCACACATCAACTAAATAAAAGATGAGAAAACTGCCAAGTGTCTTAATTTATTGCACTTTATTGTGTTCAAAGCAACATGAAAATAAATTTATTAAAATTATTAATAATAAATACATACAGAGGCACCTCATACTTTGAACACTTAGAGTTCAAATGCAAAATTTGACAAAAATTCATCTCTGAGTTTGAATGATGCTTCAAAGTTCGAAATACATACACATTGAAAAATGTGCTCAAAGTATAAACACAATCTATCATTTGTCCGAGTCATCTCATGTTCTTGCTCTTGTATTATGCTTGTATGTTTTCAGTGCTTTTTTTTGCTTTATTTTTGATGTGTTTGGTGGTTATATATACTGTATTGTGTATTTCCTGATTTTTAACAATCTCTTCCTACAGTTTTTCTTTATCAACAGCTTTTGGGAACTTTGTACATTTTATATCCTTTAGTTCAAAATTTTCCAAATGGAACTTTTTAAACCACATTTAACACGTTCAAATTTTAAGATCATCTTTCCCATACACATTATTATTTGTTTTATGGTTTTACTGTTTGTACGGCGTTATATCTTTTTCGAAACTCATGAATCATAATATGACATGCTTTTTATCCAAAGATGTTACAACTTAATTTTATTCAAACAAAATGTGAAGTAGAGAGTTTAAAGTAAGTTTCTAAACAAACAATAAAATATCTCTATCTATATCTTAAATTTCACAACTGTTAAAATTAAATCACATGTCTATGTTAAGATGCATGGAGTGCAACCAATAAATACAATTTTCATTTTATTACACAGTATTAAATGTATTTTATTTATGATTTTCATGTTTTAATTTATTATTAGGGCATTTAATTGTATTATATTTATCTTTAATTGTGTGTATTTGCTGTTTTAAGTTTAAATTGTTTTAATTGTAGATCTATAAATTTCCAATGTTGTTTCTCTGTTTATCTGTCTTTCCATTCTTCCTTAATCTCGAACAGAATTAGATAGATGAAAGCCAAAACCAGGTGTGGAAAGTTTAGGGGCAGGAGGCCGTGATTAACTATATACAAACATGCAATTTGCACCAGGCACCAATTTGCATTAGAAGTCACATTATTTCAATTCAAAAATTTTTTGCTGAAAGGAGTTAGATAGATGACCAACACAACTCAATTGCTAACAGGAAAATTATGATGTACAGGGACAAGAAACTACAGTATTAATTTGAGGTGGCAAGCATATATTTTAAATTAAATAAATTAAAAATTGCAACCTGACATTGTGATGATGTCACAATAAATAAATGCTCGTTATCTAGTATACTACTAATTTGAGATGGAGAGCATATATATTCAATTATTTATTTATTATAAAATAAATGTTTAAAGATATAAAAATATGATATGATTATTTTTTTTTCACTCTTTACATTCTGAATTTGACTAAGTGATTTTGAAGACTAAAAGAAGTACTGTACTTAATATTTTATACTTATACACATTCTATTACACAATAGATGATTAAAAATGTGCTGAATTTTAAAAAATAATTCAAGGCCACCTACAGACTTTTTTGAAATATTCAAAAGTACTCTCATTTATTGCAAAAATATAAACAAATGCAATATTTTACTGCATTATAGTAATGATTTAAAATTTTAAAACATATCTTTATAAAGCATACAAGACTAAGTCTAAGTTCTGTTTTACACGTATCAGATAATTTAAAGATTAAAAATTGTAGCCCAGCATTGTGATAATGTCAGTAAATAATCATTTGAATTTCATATTAAAAAGTGTTATTTAATTTTTAAGAATAATCTTTCAATTTGGTTTAAGTATTTAATGTACTTAATATGTATCAATATATTATTTAATTAATATACTTACTAGAAATGATGATACTTAATTCTGTCAATATAATTTGACATCAATAATTTTCCAACTGATCTGATATGGATATTTGCTTTCATCCATACTTTACAGATGTTGATAATAAATGAAAGCCTGAAAGCTTTCATTTATAGAATATTTACTTTGTTCACTAACCATTTAAATTCAAAATATAAGGAAGTAAAAGTTTATAAATCAATTTATGGAGTCCTTTTGGATTTGAGCCCTATACAATTGTAATTGTCTAGTTTTCCTAGGTCTGACTCTGGCTCTGTTTTTAGGAAAAAATTGAATAAATTTGTAATAGTATAGAAAAATTGGCAGGTTGAAAACTTTGTTGCCAAATTACCAACTTCACATAAAATATCACCATACCTGGAAAATTATTTGCATGTTGCCCATCCATTGCTAAAAAACATCTGGTCTGCAAAGTTTTTTATACAAGCAGAATAAGCAATTCAGCTCACTCTGTTATTGGTCAAAACCTATCACAACTGAAGTACTTAAAATTTATGTGCTAAGTATGTTCTGTTATGGGGTTTGGATCTATACTTTACAACAAAAATCTTTATTAATAACAATAAAAATTTATTTTAGTTTATTGGAGTGTCAGTTTATTATCAAACCAATACTAATATATCGGGAATAAGGATTGCAATTGCTGGATCCCTCATCCAGCAATCCAGCTGGATCCAGCACATTTTTTGGCCTATTGGATCCAGCACTGTGGATCCGCAAATACTCAATTAACTTTCTAAATAATGGCGCAAAAGTCTACGTTGTCTGCCTTGCCGCTTTACTATGTGCGCAATCACTCAGCAGTAAGAGCGATGTTGCTGTTCATTGTAGCACGTGCTACACCCCCCTCTACACAACACCGCCCGCCCTTTTACCTCTGCTGATCTAATTGCCAGTTGATTTTCCGCTAAATAAAGTGTCTTCGCGCTAAATAAAATAAGTAACTCCTATCCTAATCTTGGTGCATAATTCTAATTTACAGTTGGTTGTGACATCAATGAATCACGTGACGGTATGATTGCAGTTTAAACTGGCCGTAGAAGCTCTCTGCAGAAGAGTTGAGTTTGATAACTGCTGACACAACTTTGAAATTTGTCTTAGACAAACTAAAAAGCCAGGACACAATCTTGAGTGCCAACCTTTCTGAGGCACTCCACAAAAGAATCAGAGAATAGCGTCTTACCGAGATCACAGGGATGCTGATTTACATACAGAACTTGAAGAAGTATGACCAAAAAGTTAGAAAACTTTATCTTTCACATGCCGAAAAAAATGTAATGCACCAGGAGATGAAAAATATGCTGAATTGTGTAAATGCATATATAGTGGAACCAGCAGCAATGTCAGAGGATATTACAGAGGTGGAAAACAATGATCCAGATAACCCAGATTTCCTGAATTTCACATTGGAACAAAAATTAGATATCCAACTAAAGTGTGAGAAAGAAAACTTCATGAAACAGAAAGAAACTAGTACTGAGAAGGATTATGATAAATTATTAAAAAAGGAAATGGCTGGTTATGAAAGTGAGGGAGTCAGAGGTGAAAACTTATCTTTGATTTATCATTATTTGATGACACTGAAACCAGCTAGCATAGAGCCGTATATACGGCGGGATATATATGCAGTTCATTAAGAAGTAGGTTGGGAGACAACACCATCAATACCATTTGTTTCTTGAGATCCTACTTTTAGAAAAGTCAAAAAAATAACAGAAGTGATTGATTTAATTTTATTTAATCCTTTAAAATACTTTATTCAAGACAAGACTAATACTTTATAACTTCTACTTTAATTCTATTAAGTAAGAGTTTTTTAACTTTTATTCTATAAGTGGTTAGTGGGCTGGGCTAGGCAATTTTATTGTGAAAATTAGTGAGAAACTGAGACTACCTAGTTAGTTAAATAGTTAATTAAATTATTGAGTATCAGTATCTTAGATATATGAGGATATGAATATACGTGATTCATGATTGTGATAATAATAACTAACTACTAGACTACTACTAATTACTTACTCACTACTTTATTAACACTAATAATTAAATGTAGAGTCTATATAAGAAAACTGGTAAGACTGATAGCCACTTAGCCACTGATTATCCATCCTTACATTATTATAATATAATATATTAATATAAATTAATTAGTAGAATTACCTTTGCTATTATTTAACTTAAAGATTACATTATAATTATAATCTAACTAAACATTGAAAGTTAATTATCCCTATCTCAAGTGTTAAACCAAACCAAAGTTAAGTTTACTACCTAAATGTGTAAGAAGTTTTACTGATTTATAATGACCAGTCTAAATAATAAAAGTTTCTTAAGTATTTAAAAAAAATGTTTTATTTCTTTTAAAAAACCCATAAATTTTGGGTAGATAGATAGATAACACTTTATTGCACCAAAAAACATTCGCACATCATTCCAGCTGGATCCAGCTGGAATGATGTTGGTCCAGCAAAAATCCAGCTGGATTAAAGACACTGCTGGATTGCAATCCCTAATCGGGAACATTCCAATGTGCCAATATATCTGTATCAGTTACATCTCTAATACAGTACATAGGTAAACATGATGATAGATTTAATAATGACATCAAACCGTGCATGCCAAGATGTTGTGTGAAGAAACAAAACCAATGAGTGAATATTGTAAATTAGTAGTAGTGCATGTTTTCTTAAAAAACAAATGCCAAAAAGTTATGAAAAATAAAATGGTCTCTCATATTTTTATTATATGAGACAATTTACTTATTATTTTGTAATAGTATTATAAGATTATAGTATTATAGATGCTAAGTAGGACAAAACTATGATAAAGAACATATTTGCTCCCCCTGCACATCTCCCTATGGCATTGTTGCTACTACAATAATTTGGTTATACAAGAGTACTTTTTCAAATTCTAGTCTATAAATCACAATCAAATTTTTACAATAAGAATTATAACTTCAGCTATCTTTCACACGAAATAAGCTTCTGTTTCATATGAAAATGTTGCATAATCCAAGTTATCTGCAACTACCTACAAGACTGTAGGTAGTTGCAGATAACTTGTACTAATTCAGGACATCTAAAACAGTAACAGCTGCATTACATAAAGAAAAAATATTACAAATATTTTTAGGTAGGTAGTTGCAGATAACTTGGATTATGCAACATTTTCATATGAAACAGAAACTTATTTGGTGTGAAAGATAGCTGAAGTTATAATTCTTATTGTAAAAATCTGATTGTGATTTATAGACTAGAATTTAAAAAAGTACTCTTGTATAACCAAATTATTGTAGTAGCAACTATGCCATAGGGAGATGTGCAGGGGGAGCAAATATGTTCTCTATCATAGTTTTGTCTTACTTAGCATCTCTTTTATCCCTTCTCCTTCAGTGCAAAACCCAGTTATACCATTGTAGTAGTTTTTCCAAAATTGAAGTCGATATTTGTGAATTGTATTGTGAGTAAAAATGGTATTATTTTATTATAGCTTTATGGTGAAAATAATAAGAATTAAATAATTAGATAAACATTGAGAAGATAATTCACAGATACTTAAATAAGAATGAATAGGGATAAATCCAATACAAATCAAAAGGAATCTACATAAATGATATATATCTGAAATTTTTGCCAAAATGATTGAATTTCATTATGTTGTTATCAGCTTGACAATGAATTAATTATTTCTGTATTTATTTAATTGCTGTTAAATATTATTGAATAACAACTGAATTCAGTTATTATTTATTTATGTTTTTAACAACAAAAATATTAATGCTTAATTAAAAATAATAATAAAAATAAATTATTACTGATAATCAGTTTTTCTCTGAACAGAGCAGCTGCTGATGATGTAACAGTACTGAGGCAAGAATTAGTTTCTGTTCAAAAACTAATGGATAAAACTATTTTAGAAAAAGAAGCTGAAAAAGACTCTCTTCAGAAGGACTATTATATTTTGCAAGAAAAAGTCACTTCGTAAGTAAAAAAAATTTGAGAATCAATGAGAAATACAATAGAATCTGCTAATTGTAATCATTTAATGTTATTAGAATTAGCTAGTCCCAAAACATCAACAAAGTTAAAATACAGTCAAACCTCACTTTTTGGACTTAATTTGTTTCTAAAAGTTATTCAAAACTGATATGTTCTCAAACTGAAACAAATTTTCCCATAAGAATGGGAAAATTTGTAAAATGTAAAATGGATTAATCTATTACCGATCCCCAAAACAGTTTTTTTTTTAGTTGTATTTCATGCATAAAAATGTCTACAAATGCAATGTGATATTATATAGTATTATTTATATCTATTTTATATACATATATATTAAAAAATAAATATATTTTGTCACTGCCAATTGAAACTGAAACCATCACTTTACAGAAAAGTGCTATAAATAGAGATGCAACTCTGACTGCCTGCATGAAATATAACCAAATCAATCAAGACAAACAGCTACTACCTTATCAACACTTTCTTGAATATTATGCTTCAATTGCTTTGATTTAGATTTAAATTTTAATTAATTAATTAATTTTGATTTTAATTTTAGTTTCATTTTCAGTGTAAAAACCAGAGTTTTAATTATTATTTTATTATTTTTATATTTAATTAACCGGCTACCTAGTATTAATAAATATTAAATATTAATATTCTGAGTTATAATACTATATTAATAAATGTTTATTTAATTTGAGCTAAGCACTTTTTAAACATGGAGTCGTGGATGTCATTTACATTATGCAAATGTCAATTAGCATGGTTTTATTAATTAATTTGATTTAAATTCAATTGCAATGCATACCGTTAAACAAAAGTAATATCTTACCCACACGTGTATTGAAATCTAATTTGAGTAACAATGTCGTTGATGGTTCATGTCATGATGTCTAATGATGTGAGACAATCTCAGAGTCACTAACTCCTGAATTGGTAGTCCTATCGCTGATTGGTTGGGCTGTCAACTTTCTTTAACATGGGGAGTATAAGGAGTTGACCATCTGTGTCTTTCATCTATGGCTGGTTCTTGCCAAGTAGCTTGTTTGGTAACTGAGTTTTCATATGGCAACCGGGGCAAATATGGTGTTCAAAATTTTCTTTGTAAACTGAATTGTTTGAAAAGTGAGGTGTTTGAAACCCAAGGTTTGACTGTACATGTATAAAACTTACTGATTATAATGAGAATACAGTTATATTTATCATTATCCTTAGGCAAATAGACAAAAAAATTTGTCTCAACTTTTGGCTGATAATACAGTTATAATAATAATAATAACTGTATTATCATTTTCATTTAAACTGTACTAAATAATTTTCATTTGTTTTTATTCAGTAGCCGAATGAAAACAAGTGAAAATTTGATGATAGATGTGACAAATGTTTGCTATAAGAAAATACCAGTTAAGATAAGAATATATAATAAGAAAACTTAACCAGTGTTTTAAATTTTAATTGATAATCATTTTAANTGGATGTCATTTACATTATGCAAATGTCAATTAGCATGGTTTTATTAATTAATTTGATTTAAATTCAATTGCAATGCATACCGTTAAACAAAAGTAATATCTTACCCACACGTGTATTGAAATCTAATTTGAGTAACAATGTCGTTGATGGTTCATGTCATGATGTCTAATGATGTGAGACAATCTCAGAGTCACTAACTCCTGAATTGGTAGTCCTATCGCTGATTGGTTGGGCTGTCAACTTTCTTTAACATGGGGAGTATAAGGAGTTGACCATCTGTGTCTTTCATCTATGGCTGGTTCTTGCCAAGTAGCTTGTTTGGTAACTGAGTTTTCATATGGCAACCGGGGCAAATATGGTGTTCAAAATTTTCTTTGTAAACTGAATTGTTTGAAAAGTGAGGTGTTTGAAACCCAAGGTTTGACTGTACATGTATAAAACTTACTGATTATAATGAGAATACAGTTATATTTATCATTATCCTTAGGCAAATAGACAAAAAAATTTGTCTCAACTTTTGGCTGATAATACAGTTATAATAATAATAATAACTGTATTATCATTTTCATTTAAACTGTACTAAATAATTTTCATTTGTTTTTATTCAGTAGCCGAATGAAAACAAGTGAAAATTTGATGATAGATGTGACAAATGTTTGCTATAAGAAAATACCAGTTAAGATAAGAATATATAATAAGAAAACTTAACCAGTGTTTTAAATTTTAATTGATAATCATTTTAATCAATGTTTTATTGCTATGTAATAGTTTAAATTGCTGGCATTTTTTATTTCATTTATATACAAGCTGCTGTTAAAGATGTTTGCTAGTTTTTGCAATAAAAACATTGGATTAATTACTATTAATTAATAATAATAATTAAAATTTTTAGATTAAGATTTTTTTTTAGTTCTAATTTAATGTCAGAATTACTAAACCCAGAATTGTAATAGTTGTAATGTTATTTACTTAATCTGCTTAATGTTATCATTTAATTATAGTCATTAATATAAGTGAGTGTCAAAATGATTACAATAAGCAGATTCTATTTTTCTATATTTCTCTATTACTCTAGATTTCTTTTGTATTATGCATTATTGTATTTATATTTAATAGTATTATTTCTTTTGTATTATTCATGTATTATGTTTTGTCATGTTTTTTACTTCTACTACATTAAAACTAATAACTAATTAGATACAAAAAAATTTGGCTAGAGATAAGATGATGCCATTTAAATAATTGATGGAGTGGATTGATTGAATGGAAGATGTCAAGTAATTTTCTTAGTAGAGGTAATTAGGGGTGGGTATCAATGGTCATAGTTTGTTTAAGTAACATCCAGTCATTGTACAAACTTAGATGACAGCTAAGCTAATTTACTTGTGTTGCTCCTGATTGCCCAAAAATACTTGAGAGAAACTTGAAGTGAACTCCAATAGAGCAGTTTGTTTTATTTTTTAAAGAATTTTGAGTTGTTTTTGCGTTTATTTTAAAGTAAAAATTAAACTGCCATGTTTTGAAACCATGTCGTATTTTTTATATTTGTTTTATAAGTGCAATGTAGCATAATAACAATCACTTGGCACAATTCATGTAAAAATTAAAATTATTATTGTAGCTTGCATTTACTTATTTATTCTTAAAAACACTTTTAATTTCAATTGTTTTGTCTTCCTTTGTAAGTCATACAGCAATTTTCCATTGATCTTCAATTCCTCTCTTAAATTTTAGACTCCTCATGTATAATTTTTGCATTATGTACAGGTACATCTTTTCTTAAATTTTCAAAACCAATCTTCTGCATTTCCAATCTCTATTTTCTTAATATGTGATTGATTCATTTACAGTGAAGAAGCAAGCAACTATAGTTAATGATTCTTTTCTCTATAAATGATCTAACACTTTAATTTTGTATTGGATGGACATTGCCTTCTTTGTTCTTTTCAATAATTTGGCATTGGTATATTTAAATAATTATTGCTTTTTCAGAATAAACAAAAAACTAACTAAAATCTGCAAGCATTGTGAATTTGAGTGTTGTAAAACACAACACACATTCAATATAAAACTCAATGCATATTGGTTGAATTAGTGCACATGCTAAAACAATTGAGAAACTATGAAACAATATACATAAAAAAATAACCACTTAATAAAGCCAATAACCGGTATTAAATAATCGTAAAATGAACTGCGAACGTTTTCGGTTCCTTCCCTAGGACCTTTCTCAAGCAGCGATTCGTCTTTAGAATAAATATGAACGAAGACCAGTAAATAGCGATATTCGAAAAATTATTCTTCCGAACAACATTTCAAAACACTAAATTTACGGATCACATCAAATGGTTGGAACAAATGGAGATCTGCAAGGCATACAACACATCTGAACCTATTAGCTCGAGGGATGAAATTACCCTATCCCTTGCATGGCAGGCCCTACTACAGAAAGAAGATACGCATTAATAATACGTTTCATAAATAGGGTGTAAACATCATGCATAGGAATTTTTTTTTTCTTTTTTTAAACCGAACATTTTTTTATTTTTATTTTTTATTGAATTTATTTACGGAATTCAGGAATGCACGTGATTCACTTTAACGTTGAATTTTGACTTTTGAAATGTTGTTCGGAAGAATAATTTTTCGAATATCGCTATTTACTGGTCTTCGTTCATATTTATTCTAAAGACGAATCGCTGCTTGAGAAAGGTCCTAGGGAAGGAACCGAAAACGTTCGCAGTTCATTTTACGATTATTTAATACCGGTTATTGGTTTTATTAAGTGGTTATTTTTATATTAATCCGGTATTAGAAGATTCTTTATCAATATACATCATTATGATCTAACAGTGTACAGTATGGATTGCGACTGTGATAGAGTATATTTAAGTTAAAAAGCAATAAAAAATTGTTTGTCTTTTTATCTGTTCTTTTATTATTTTGGTTAATTGTTCCACAGATACATGAAGTTTAGATTTACAGATACAAAAAATGATTGCAAATGCTCAGCCAAGATTAAAGAATGTATAAATATGGAGCTGCTGTTGTGTAAAATACATTCTTGTGAATAGCATTTTATTCCAAGCTTAGGTACAATGAATTGCACTTAACTTCAATAATGTATTGTATAAATTAATTTGATTTATAGTTTGAAACAAAACCAATTAGATATAATGTTAGATTAAAACATTTCTTTGTCATATATTATAACACAGCTTGGTCCTCACACCAAATATTAGATAACAGGAATGAAAATTCACTGGGTATGGTATTATTATGTATTACTGGGTATTAGCAATAATAATAGTTTTATTATTATTGCTAGCAATTTCAATGAACTTATGTTTGTCATCAGGCAAACAAAAAGATAAAAATGTGGAATGCAATGTTTTAACATGAGTGGAACACATTATTTAAATTAAAATTAAAAACCACTATGAGCATGCTACAAACTTCAATTACACTTGATGTTAAGATGTCGTGCAGCGCATAGATTCATGTTAAAGGTGTGATGTCATAACATCAAGCATAATCAAAGTTTGTAGACTGCTCATAACAATTTTTAATTTTAATTTAAATAATATACAGTGAAAACTGCTTAGGCGACCATCTGTATTCGACGGGCACCTGTCAAAACAGGCAATATTTTCTGACACCGAATAGTTTATCCATAGAGTCTTTGTATGAGTTACCTGTATTAAATGACCACCTGTGTAATGCGACCACGGGCACCAATTTTTAGTCCAAAACAACATACAACAACTGTAATAAGCGACCACTTCCGCAAATATATCTGCTCTAAATTATTGTTCAACAACGTTTCCTAATATAATGAATTAGTCTAAACTCTCATTCAAACCCACTTCAGGCACGTCTCCCACCCTTGAAATAAGATGCAAGTGTTAATGAATTAGTCTATCAACAAAGGAAATTCATTTCAGCTTATTTGAAATTGTCTGAAAAACGAAAGAAATGCAAAGTGCTGTCGTTAGAAGATCATGTTAAAGTTTTCACAACAGCAATTAGCGGTGAAGTTTAACTGTGGGATAACAAAATTGATTTTACTGTAGACCTACAGTATTTTCCTTTGTGGTATAAAATATTGTACACAATATAATTAATCAGCTGAAATCATCGTTTGATAAAATTTATTTTTATTTATTTATTTATTTATTTTGAAGTTCATATACAGTACATGTGCGATAAATGGTTTCTATATCAACCTACCTTATTTCCACGATATTTTTAGAAAAATAATATCCAAGTAATTTTCGCACGCAAAATATTCAAAAAACAATAAATGCATTAATGCAAAAATCACTTTTACAGGCAACCTTCCTTTTTCGATTCCGCAATGACAATCACGGAATGTAATGAAATCGTATAATGAGAAAAAATAATAAAATTGTTTTATTATTAATTAATAATCTTTCTTATTGTACTTAAGAAAATATTAAATATTAAAAAATACAGTATTTTTAAAGTTAAAATAAGATTAAACTAACAAATACCAAAACCAAAGTGATGTAGAGATACAATGCGCTTGTATATCGATGATGTAATACATGTAACTGAGGAGTGAACAAAAACAATGAAGTTGAATTAATTAAGTCGGAAAACAGAAAGTGTGCATTATAATCGAGAAAATGAGACTATTGTATTAAACTTTAAAATATTGGTATTAAATCTGTCTTATAAAATCATGACTCCTGTAAATCAAGTTATCTGATAAGAATAAAATACAATGCCAATATAGTCCTATCATTGAAAAAGTTTGCTTATTTTTGCTCACCGAGTTTTGCTTAGTAGAAATGACTAAAAAGTGTGCAAAATACGTACTGAAATACAGTATTATATCATCACCTGTCTAAAAGGCCACATTTTGAAGGAACCATGTCTATGGCTGCCATAGACAGGTTTTACTGTATGTTCCACTCACATTAGTACATTGTATTCCATATTTTTAAATTTTTGTTTGCCTGACACCAATGAACATAAGTTTTTTGAAAGTGCTAGCAATAATAATAATAATAACTATTAATGTGGTACTCAGTAAATTTTCCTTCCTGTTATGTAATATAATATATTTAACATTACTGTTAAGTTTCAAATTTTTTTGAAAGCATGGAATTACAATTGGAATTATTGATATTTTCTATGGAAATATGATATTTAGATTGAAAAATTTGTTATAAAAATGATTTAATGAATAAAAACAAATGAAAATTGGATGATAGATGTGACAAATGTTTGCTATAAGATAGTATAATTAAAAACAAAGCAGATTTTTAATAAGAGAAGAAAAATGCATACTTGCATTTAGAATAATCTCAATAATTTTTTTTTTGTGAACTGATACTAATAGGTTAAGTTAATTATGTATAAATTTATCAATGAAACAATAATTGTATAATTTTAACTTTTCAATATTAATCTTTACATTAATAGACTAGAAGAGCAGAAATCTATACTAGAAGAAGCCCTAAAGAAAGTTCCACAAAAAGAAGAAATGGAAAGGTTAGTTTTTTGTATTTAAAACACTTGCAGTTTAAATTCTAATGTAAACAAGCATTAAACCTCTAATATTTTAATAATAATAGTTTTTTAACATATTTAATGTATCAATTAGTTCTTGTAGTTTCCCATGTGAATGAAATAGGGGAGACGTGAATAATCCATTTGTATACAATTATATTATATTTAAATATAGATAGAATAAAATATAAAATATAGATAGAATTGGAGAAGCCCAGTATATTCATTATCATGTAAATTTTTAGATTTAAAGTAATCGGGATAAGAGAAATGTGTGGTAGAACAAGATAATCATACGGTTCTTCTAATTTTAGCTACATAGTACTTCTGTTTGATATGTAAAGAAGCATTCATCATATTCTTAAATTATGGAAGATTATATATATATATAACTTGGCAGATTGATTAATCAAAAAAGAGAAAGTAGGAATTAACATGGCATTGAAATTTGAGAACTCTGAAATTGCAAATTTATCGGAATTTACAGTTATGAAGTTTGATATGTTAAGATTATATTTTGATTTTAGGCAATCTTCAAATATTCTGAACTCAACCGGGCTCAAAATTTTAACATTTAGGATATTTCAAAGTTTGTATTCTGAAAAGATTTCGTATATGATTTTATTAACTCTACTGTTAAATATATAACATTAATTCTTATATTTCTCTCTTATGTTGTTGTGGGTATCGTGCAATGAGTTCAAAGTCATCCATGAGGTACTATAATTTTGAAAAAAATCAAACCAGAGTTTTAAATAATGCGTGTTTTAAAATCACGAATGGGACTAGAGTGCCTCACGCTTTTTTGGGGAACAAAGAATTTTAACGTCCACAGTGCCAGTTTTTTTAATCACTAAACTCTAACTCTCGGAGATCAATATTCTTTATCAGTGTAGGGTGTAAAATTTATCACAAAATATACATATACACACATACATATGACTGCACATAGATGTATAAACATAACTGTAGTCTTAAATGTGCAGCTTATTTGTATACAATGACATTTGTATGTGAGTTGATCACTCTCAATTAATTAAAAGAATTGTTTTTGATCAGTGAACTAATCTTCCAAATTTTCAGTTTTATCACCAAGTTTAAAGTTTCAATTAATATTTGCTGTTTGTACCTGACCCAACTTCCAATGCAAGGGGATTGCATATATTGTCCAACTTCTAATTCATTGCTTGCTGATGTCCACGACTGCCTAAGTTCGTCCTCTCTTCTTTTTCTTCTTCCAGACACACACCACACTGGGACAAACTCCAGAGAAAAGATGAGATTTCTCTCCTTGTCATGTCCTTTTTGTTCCCTAGAAACATTACCTGACCAATCTAGACCTTGACGTGCCATTGTTATAGTGACCAACTACAAACCCAGAGTATACTGACCAGTGGTACAGAAGTAAAGGAGAAGTATATAGAACAAACCAGGGAATAAATGGAAAATTATATATATATAGACATACACATACATATAGACAGGAAGAGGGAGAGAAAACAAATATAATAATATAAAACATGGTGTAGTAACACCACATTATCTTTTGAGTTGTCATTCCTTCAATCTAGAAGAAAATTTATTAAAATACACATGCTTCCAATTATTAATATATCAAGCTTCTAGAATATATCAAAACAAAATTTAAATTCAGATGAATTTTATGATTGAATTACAAAATATTGAATATAGAGAAAAATAAATAATTATCTATTAGTAAAACTAGAATAGTAAACAAAATATATATTTAAATAATGTTGAAATAATTAAAATTGTGGGGATTGCTGGGTGATGTCCAGGCACCACTGTGTGATTCTACTATGGTCTTTCCTTCTGACACCAAGTAGGTTACATGAGTACTACATGAGTTTTGAGCATTTTTCTGGATGGCAATAACACAGTTTCGTATGTGAGACTAGGGGTAAGAGGATGAAGTAGGAAAGGACGAGATTCAGTTGGAATTGATTTCAACTGAATCTCGTCCTTTTTACTAATTCCTAACCAAATTCACTTAATACAATTTACTATACTTAAACATTTATTAGATGGCGCACAAGTTGGTACAACACGTTACACAGGATATTCACATTTCATGGAAAGAGAGGGAGAGATATTACAAATTTTTGGTACCTCACAAATCTGAACTAGAATCCTTGTTAAGGATCTTTGGAACATAGTTTTTCAATTAACAATTCAGGAGAGAAGCAGCAAGTAGAGGGATGACAAAGAATCGGAGGGCACAGAAGAGCACTAATCCAGAAAGGTACATAGTCACAGTAAATTGAACAATCAGAAGAATGGGTGACTACTGCTTGAAATCGGCCATTCCTTGTCATATTCAAAGCAGCAAATACCTTAGAGGTGACTAAAAGTCATGGGAAAGATATCACTACAGATTCTGAGAAAGTGTAAGTTGACACACTCTCAGGTCAGAAAGTTGACATATACTAGCTTCTGATAAAGTTGTCATTGAGTTGTTTTCCTTTTACTTGTTCGATTCTCACAAAATAATAAAATTGTTAAACTATGAGATTTAAATAAATATTTTATAAAGTTTAAGTAACTTAGTATATAATTTATTTTAAGAAAAAATATTTAAGTTCATGCTTTACTTATATCATGTTGCATATACAATGTCTGGAAGTTAAACTTATTTATGAATTATGAATTGCTCTCAAACTTCCAGACATTCAATCTAACTCATGGAATTAAGTTTATAGTTTTTGATACTTAATATCATTAATCCTAGGGTGCATTTAGATGAAAAGTAGCCTAAATAAACAAGCCAATGACACAGTTTGTTTCATATAAAATGAACTGTGTCATTCATCGGCTTGCTTAATTAGCTGCTATGTTCTTGTTCTCTATTTTCATTTCTATTTAACTAACTATATTTCTCAGTACCTACCAGTGATAACAATTAATATTGATTGTAGAATTAATTCAAAAACTCCCATTAGCATTTGGAAACTATTATTAAACACAAAGACTATCATGACTTATGAAACATGAGATTAATGAAAATTGTTAGTGTAATTGTTTTATAAAAAATATAAAAACAATTTAACCTATAAAATTTTAATAAATCAATTATATATAGAAATAAATTGAAATGCATTTAATAAAAATTATAACCAGGACAATACATATGAACGTAGAAAATATATAAAAAATTCTCAATGGATGAACTTTAAAAGTGTCTTTTACTCTTAGTTCCTTTTTGTACACTATCAGGAAATAACAGTTTCATTGCAGAGTCATACTTTATTTGGAGTCTTCTTGTCTGTCTCAACGTGCAAAACATTACAATCTTCTCTCTAGCAGTTGCACAATCAATTATAAAAATTATACATTTAATAAAATTTTTTGAGAATTTTTTTGTAAATTTTCCAAGTTCATATCTATTGTTCCAGCTATAATTTTTATAATTGAGCTGCTGCCAGAGGGAAGATTGTAATGTTTTTCAAGTTGAGGCAGATGAGAAGTCTTCAAATAAAAGTCATCTATGCTGTGAAACTATTATTTTCTGATGTTATTTGAAAAGGGACTAAGAATAAGGGACATTTTTAAAGTTTGTCCATTGAGAATTTTTTGTAAATTTTCTAAGTTTAAACTTAAATAGTTGGAATTTTTTTTTTTAACTTAATGCACATGTCATGCTAATATGTGAAGTCTTCTGAATATTGAAATAAATATTTTCAATCAAAATATGATTGGTTTCAGTTATTATTGGGACCTTGAATAAGTTCTCGCTGTTTTCCAACAGATGGTGTTACCAGAACTATGTGCATGTAGTTTAAGATGGTGGTGCATCTGTAAGGAAGTACAATAAGCGACCTTGAAATTCAGTATATGTCATTTCGCCGAAGTGTAAACAACCTTTTTTTTCACAGTGTTAAACATGTCAAGTTTCATGCCAAAAAAAGAGTAATTTTATTGCACTATTTTATTAAAAAAAGATCTGCAGCTGAAGCGCACAGAATTCTTGTTGAGACTTATGGCGACCATGCTTTGTTGGAAACAACATGCAGAGATTGGTTTAAATGCTTCAAAAATAATGATTTTGAGGTTGAAGATAAAGAATGCTCTAGTGCACTGAAAAGGTTTGAAGACAAAGAATTGGAGGCATTACTTCATGAAGACTCATGACAGATGTTAGCTGAACTTGTAGAATTGTTAGGAGTTGATCACACAACAGTTTCGAAATGTTTGAAAGTATTAGGAATGATTCAAAAGCAAGGATATGGGTGCCGTACGAGTTGAAGTTGCGAGATGTCAAACGTCATCTTTTCATGTGTGAATAGCTGCTTTTAACAGCAGAAAAGGAAAGGTTTTTTTGCATTGTATCATGACTGGTGATGAAAAGTGGATACACTACGACAACCCTAAGCATAGAAGATCATGGGGTAAGCCTGGCCGTGCATCAATATCATTGGAAAAGCAAAATATCCATGGTTCGAAGCTTCTTCTCTGCATTTGGTGGGATCAGCTGGGTGTAGTTTATTATGAGCTGCTCAAACCAAACAAAACCATCACGGGAGATCACTATCGACTACAATTGATGTGTTTGAGCCAAGCATTGAAGGAAAAATGACTGCTATACGAGCAGAGACATGACAAAGTGATTTTGCAACATGACAATGCTCAGCCACAAGTTGCACAATTGGTGAAAACCTACTTGGAAATGCTTAAATGGGAAGTCCTACCCCATCCGCCGTATTTACTAGACATTGCCCCTTCCAATTATTATTTGTTACAATTGATGGCACATGGCCTGGCTGAGCAGCACTTCCATTCTTATGAACATGCCAAAAAATGGGTTGATTCTTGGATAGCCTCAAAAGATGTGTCATTTTTCTGATGTGGAATTCAAATGCTGCCAGAACAATGGAAGAAAGTAGTGGCTAGCAATGGACAATACTTTCAGTGGCATGTTTTTTACAACTTTTTTAAAATAAAGCATTAATTTTCATGAAAAAACAGCAAGAACTTATTCAAGGTCCCAATACATACATGCATCTTTCTAAAAATGTCTCATTTATTATGTTTTTTCATTTTATCAAAAAGTAAAAGAAAATAAAAGAATGTTTGTTAATGAAAATTGAAAACATTTTCTGTACTTTAATGAATAATTCTTATTTGGTGTATTCTTTATGTATAAAATTTTAAATTATTAAATAAGATACTACTAGATTTTTTTAACTGTAATGATGATCAGTGTTGATTAGATATTCAATTACTTTTATTGATTAGAATTAAACCCATTCTAACAGTAACTATACAAGTAGAAAGCTAAACTGAATTACAACTTGTTGTATACAAATAGATAACTTAATTGACATTTTATAAATTACAAATTTACTTTTTAGGTTATTTAAATAAAATTTTGATTTCTATCAAATTTATTATTATAAGTTTTATTTTCACAAAACAAGTACAGTAGTACCTCAGGATACAAAATTAATCCGTTCCGAAACTGAGATCGTATCATGAAAATGTCGTAAGGTGAATCATTTTTCCCCATACGATTACATGTAAAACCAAATAATCCATTTCAACATGAAAAACATACACAAATTAAAGCTAAGTAGTACATTAAAAAAATAGTAACTTTTGTAAGGAAAACACTGAAAAATGCATTTTGTAGTTGTAAATGTATAAATAATCATAATAGAATAATAATTGATTAAAAAAATGTAGTTTTATTTGCACTTTAACTTTGAAGATAGATGACGGTGGAGGTGTAAACTGGTGGCAGAAGAGAGGGAGAGGGGATGACTACTAAAACTTAACTTACATAACATAATGTAACAATAACTTAAAAATAACTTAGAAAAGATAAAAAAATTAGTGTTGTTTTATATATATATTTTTTAATTTTTATGCACTGCTTTTTGCTTTCTTTCCTTCACTTCCACCAGCACTTTCACTGGATAGAGGTCACTTTGTAAAATATCTATCCAAAGAGGTTTGGCTTTGTCTACTTTTTAAAATTTTTCTAAAATGACTTAGGTAAATGTCATTACTCTGAGTAGCAATATGGCCAGTGTGAATCTTTCTGGGATGCTCCTTTTCAATAAAATCAGTCACTTTCTGATAATACCTCAAGATTTCCTTTATCGAGCGAGATTCTTCCACTACAAAGCAAACAGGCAGACTGAGACCAATGAACAGAAGTGAATAAAAAATGGCGCTGCGAACTAATGTGACGTCATATGGTGAGTTTTTGTTTGTATCAAGGAGCAAAAATATGTTTGAATTTCATGTCATATCCTGAAAATTTCGTATGCTGGGGCATTCGTATCCTGAGGTACCACTGTATATATATATATATATATATTGCAGTCAAAACCCATTTTTAGTTACAATGCGTTTTAACTACTTGAAACTAGTTTATACTGGATGTCTTTGATAAAACCTATTTTGTTTAGTTAAAACTAGTTTTAACTCAAATTCATTTTTGACTAACAGTAAATTCTAGTTTTAACTAGACAAAATGGGTTTTATCAAAGACATCCAGTATAAACTAGTTTTAACTAGTTAAAACGCATCCTAATTAAAAACTGGTTTTGACTACAACATATAGAGTGATTCGGGGTAAGATGGTAAGCGGGGGAAGATGCTTAATTTTTGATATTTTCAAACGGTGACGTCACATATTGTCATGTATTTCTATGATGAATCGTTGAGCCAATATTGAGTGCGGAAAGCTGTAGTTGGCTACTGTTACTTCATTTTCTACATCCGAGAAGAATAAAAGCTAGATAAGAATGAAGTTTTTGTTGTGAAATGTTTCTAAAGTAATTTTAAACTAAAAGTTAAAATACAATTTATTAAAAATTGAGAAAAACAATTAATGTGTGATGTAGTTAAGGTTCTAAAGTTTTCATTGTCAGCTACCACCGATTCCGATCGAATATGCTGGAGCACATGACTCTACTAGGCATCTTACCCCCAAAAAATCCCAAAAGATGCCACATTTTTCTTGGGGTAACATGCCTATTTTTTGTTAATTGAATTCCAATATGCCTATTTTTAATAAATTTTTGTTTTTCTTGTTTTATTGCAGGATATGCATAGAAATTATATAAGGACTTCTCAAAAAGATTTTTGGACTGAAAAAAGCTTTCAGCTAGCTATAGAGCATGTTAGAATGGGGCAAAACTTAACAATACTTATACTGTGCTGTTATACTTGCTATGGAGTACTTTGTACTACATATGCAATAAATTAAATTTGGTTAAGAAATTCAAAAATTAATTTTATGCAATTATATTTGTTATCTTACCCTAATGGCATTTGGCATCTTACCCGGATACTTGGGGTGAGATGCCTAAAATGCCAGACATTGAAAAAGTCGTCATTGCAAACACAATATACAATTATTTTTAATAAATTCCAAAGTTTTATTTGAAAAACATACTCCAGAATATTATATTTTCATTAGAGGGTTCCAAAACCCAAATTAGCACTATAATTTCCTTCATAAGCAAAATGTTAGGCATCTTCCACCAAATCACTATACATAACTTTATTTCCCTCAAACATATTTATGTAGCTAAAATTAGTTTTAATTACTAATGTTAAAAGTTAAAACTAGTTTTATCTAAAATCAAAACATGTACAGCAGTAAATTAACTAGACAAAACCAGTTTTGTCTAGTTAAAACTAGAATTTACTGCTAGTCAAAAATGAATTTGAGTTAAAACTAGTTTTAACTAGACAAAACTGGTTTTAACAAAGACATTCAGTATAAACTNTTTTAATCATAAACTAAATTTTTAAATCTCTTAAATACAATAGATTGTAGATGCAAATAAATTTGTATCTGCAATCTATTGTAAATAAATTTTAATAAATTTTTTTATTAGTAAGTTTGTATTAGATGATGATAAATTTTTAACTTTTCCTACTTTTATGATGATATGAATAAATACTTCATATATAAATTTGTATATTAAAATTTAAATTTTTTTCTAAATTTTTGAATTTATTTTTACTGTGGTTAACTTGTATAGTAATTAAAAATTTTTTTGGTACAGATTGAGAAGAGAGCTTTTAGAAAATACTGCTAAAATTATAGAATTGCAAAAAACCATCACTGAAAAAGAAAATGCAAATAAAGCCTTAATAGAAAAATATAAAAAAGTAAGAATTTTTGCAAAATTAATTTATGCTAGTCTTCAGAAATAGATAAATTAAATTTTCGCCTAAATATATTTATCTATTAAATACTTTGATATAAGTACAATAAGATACTTTCACTTTAAATTATAATTTCAGGTTATTTATGGATTATTATAATAGCATTTTTACAGAAGATGCAGATACAAAAGATGTTTGTAGTATTTACAAATTGAAAACGCAAAAGCTTCATAAAGATGTAACTGTTTAAAGTTCTCAAAAGAAATCAACTGCATAACTGTGTAACTTCATTCATTTTTACTTAATTTATTATATGTTTTACCAATAGCCAAAACATAGTTATAAGTTCATCTGTCAAAATTAAAACCATTTTGAAACGTATAAAAATAAAAATTACATTAAAATTATAGTTTGAGGGACTTGGTAGAAAAATGATATATCTCACATCAAGTTTTTGAGAAAAAGGACAATTTGTATTTCAATTCACCAGCACTTTAATATGCAATATTTTATTGATGTGGATGTACTGTACAATGTGTGGGGCATGCAACTGAACTGTTAAAGTTTCATAGAAGACAGATTGACTATGCACAAATCCAAATTTGTTAACTCATTTTTTGTACTTTTGTGGATATGCTGTATGTATGTATGTATGTATCTCTGTTTTGGTCTACATACACTGGCCAAAACAATTGAGGGAGCAAGAGATGTTGCACAGAAAATCATTTATGTGAACAATGTCAGATGTTATTGTTTCTTAAAATTAAGTAAAATATACAATAATATATGAAAAATATGAATTTGAGCTGAATTCTTGTCATATTTTTATTTAATGCATTGCAATATGCTGACCAACAGTTTGTGCATCTGCACAACCAGAACAAATGGCTTTTTTATGGTAGTGTATTGACTGTAGTAGATTGTGTTATGATCTCTGTGAATGGCAAAAACTGCTGCCCATGTGTGTGGAATTGATGAAGTTGCTTATGAGATTTTAGAGAATTCTTTGTCACTCAGAACATTCTTGCATGCTCCACTAATTGTTTTGACCAGTGTATTTAGTAAAAGTTTTAATTACTATGCATATTATTACAAATTATATTCATTTTATTACACTTAATATGTATTTAAGATGTAAATTTGTTGCTAGTTATGCAAAATTGTGTGTGTGATCTGATGAGGGCTAAGACCAACACATCATAAATCAAGAAAAAGTGATTAGAGTTACCAAGTTCTACTAATTACAATTTATTTTGGAAGAATGTATCTTTACAAAACCAAGAATTTTATAGTTTTTGACTTCTAGTATATACTTAAATAAATATTATAATAGCAGTGAAATATTTTTATGGAAAAAAGATGGATGTGTGAAAAATAACTAATTAATTCCTAACTTGAGTAATCTATGCTGACCCAAGACCAATAACAAACTTTGCAGCATAAAAAGTATACTTCTTAATAAGCAGAATATATGAAAATTGTCAATGGTTCAGTAAATAGAAATAAGATATTTTAACAAATACACCAAATCCTTTAGAGGTCAGTTAGTAAATATAGTAACTTTTACAAAAATCATAAAACATTTTAGGAATACAATAAACCCCAATTTAATGGATTGAGGGAAAGGGGTGTCCATTATTTCCAAGATTATTAAATCGGATTTATATTAAAAACATGTATTAATAACAAAGTTAAAATGTGCAAGATGTGTTAAGATGAATAAAATAATAATGTAATTTATACTTGGTACTTGATTGCTTGTTGTTCTCTCAATTAGTTGTATGTCCTTCAGAACTTAGACTTCCTGATAAACATACAGTAAAAGCTTTTACACCTTGTTTTTAACCAGTTTTTATTGGTTTTAAGGATTTTATGTTTTTACTACCATTATTAGTCAAACTTTTTATACATTTTATCCAAAATATTTTTATTTGTACAGTTTTTCTTATACTGTCCATGGTTTTATATGTTTTAATCAAACTATTTTTATTTCTACAGTTTTACTTATTTTACCGCACAGTTTTAATAATTAGTTATTCCAGCTGTCACTATAATTATTTTTAGTTTTTACCGAAATACGTAATAAAATAAAGACTGAAGAGGGGCATAGAGCCTGAAATGCATATCCATTCTAAATTATAGAAAATAAACCTGCTTTTTCCATCAAAAAAGGAGTGTTCCTGTGTGATTTGTTCTCAACAGTAACTTTGTTCTAATTTCAAAGGACATACAAGCAATTTATACTCATTGATTCATTGTTCTAATCTTTTGTTCTAATATGCATATTGTGTTTATAGCTATAGAATTGTTTATAACAATAATATTTTTAAAATAAACCTGATATTTCCACCCAGTTTCTATATCACTTTTTATTTGGTTTTTAATTATTTTTAATTTACTCTTTTATTGTAATTTTATTAAATTCATGGAAATTTTATTAATTAGCATTTTTATTTTATTTTTCTCATACATTTAACATTAGACAAAGAAAGTTTAGCTGTAAAATCAGGTGAAGTAAAAGTGAAAAATAATAGATACATGATGTACTCTGTTTTCAGATTAACTATTATTTATTTTTGATTAGATAGAGAAAGCATTGGGAGAGAAACAGAAAGAATGCTCTCAGTTAGAGACAGCTATTAATGAAGAAAGCAAAAAATCCAATAATATTAATAATACTAAGAACCAAGAAATAAAAGATTTACAAACAGATATAAAAAAAGTAATATTTCTATTTTCATCAAATCATTTTAATCTTACTACATTAATGTTTACTTTTTTAATGACATTAATTTTTGTAAATTATTGCAGATGAATCAGAATTTAATGGAAAAAGAAAACAATTTAGCTCGGCTCAATCAAAAGTTGTTGCAGTTGCAAGAAGAATGCCAAAATCTGGTGAATGTTTTAATATATACTTCTTAATTTTATTATTAGATATTATATAAAATCTTTTACATGAAAACATTTTAGTCTGAATGTTGAAGTTAATACTATTTAGAGAGATTAATAAAAAAAAAAACATTATTATAATAAAATAAATCTAAAATATTTAATCTAAGAATTTTCATAAATATAATATTGATTGTAAAACATATTATTTGATATGGTTTATTTAATCAAAAATATTAATACTTATTGTTGTCAATTTGCAAAATAAGTGACTGACCTTGCAAATTGAGTCCCACACTATAGTGAGACTCAATCATTCCAGTAACTTAGCAGTGGTGATAAAGCAAAAAATCAGAATTAAAAAATTTCATAAAAACTTTTAGCTGGTAAAATAAGTATAAACTTAGAAAATTTACAAAAAAAAATCCTCAATGACAAACTTTAAAAGTGTCCTTACTCTTAGTCCTTTTTTGCACACCATCAGAAAATAACTGTTTTATGGCAGAGTTAATCTTTATTTAGAGGCTTCTTGGCAACATGCAAAATGTTAGTCTTTCCTCTGGCAGAGGCACAATAAATTATAAAAATTATGTATTTAATAAAAAATTTTAGCCAGGACAATAAGTATAAACTTAGAAAATCTTATTGTCCCAGCTAAATTTTTATTAATTGTATAATTTTTAAAATTGATTGTTTCCCTGCCAGAAGGAAGATTATAACAGTTTGTATGTTGAGATGGATGAGAATCCTGTAAATAAAAGAAGATTCTGCCATGAAACTGTTACTTCTTGATGGTGTACAAAAAAGGACTAAGAATAAGGACACTTTTAAAGTTTGTCCATTGAGAATTTTTTGTAAATTTTCTAATTTCATTTAAAAATTTGATATAACTGCATAAAAAATGCTGTAGAGCAGGGGTGTCCAACCTTTTTGTTTCTCTGGGCCACATTGGAAGAAGTCATGGAGTTTTGGGCCACAAGTATATATAATATACTTGTGGCCCAAAACTCCATGTATATTTTGGCCCATCCTTAAATATACAAGTATATTTAAGGATTAACATGTCTATATTATAATAATATGTATTAAAACTTTATTATGAAAAAGGTTATTTTAAAAAATTACTTCTATAGACACTTTTAATTTTTACTTAGAAATAGATAAATTCATTTACTATAAAGGAGACAAACAAAAATTTATTTGAAAAACACAAATATTTGTTTTATTTGGGTCTCTAATTAATAAACAACGACAAAACACCATTTTAAAGTGTGTTTTTTATTCAACTAATATATTTATAAATAATATATATCCCAAAAAGTAGCCAATGTTCCAAATGATATTTTTTTTTGCCAAACTAATGAAAGGGTAGCCAAATCTTGCAATGCTGGAAGGAATACTAAATAAAGCTGGAGTTGGGGCTCAAAGGATTGTAGACCCGAAAGGAGAGAAAGGACAAAAGATAAAGTGAGGAAGGTTGGAAAATTAAAGGTCAATATTGCATAACAGAAGGTCTATTTAACCTTTCTCCCTTAAAGCCTTAAAGATAAAAAGTAGTAAACTTTTTATCTTTTGGCCTTTCTCTTCTTTCCCCAAATTTGAGTCTATACTCCTTAGTCACAACTCCAGCTTTATTTAGTATACCTTCCTCATTCACACATTTCCAAGTATATGAAAATATTTCCTTTCAACTCAAAAATAAAATATGTATAAAGGTGTACAGCTTTGTGAAACTTTTTTTTTGAGTTTATGCTGTTGAAATAAATAAAAAAATTTGTCGGTTTTGTTTACATGTTTATTGGGCTGCAGGTTGGACCCCCTGCTGTAGACGAAATAAATGATCCCAAAAATGCATATATGGCTATCAGATAGCAATTTGTGGAATACAGATATTTAATAAAGCAATAATAATAATTCTTTTAAATTAATTATTATGGGATATGGGAACAATTTGCAAAAAGTTAGGTTTAAACTTAAAAAATAATACAGGTTACACATCCTATTCCAAAATTCTTCAAACCAAGAATATTTCAGATTTTAGATTTTTCTGAACCTTGGAATATATGATATAATGGAGTTGGAGAAAATTATCACTATTGGACTTTTTGAAATTTTTAACAAGATATAAACAACCCAGCTGAAAGTAAGCAGTCACAGACAGCATACACTGATAAGGTTTAATGATTTACTAAATCACAATAGTGTATCATCATTTATGGCACAGTGGTCTATCCCAAAGGGGGCTTTCCTGCTGTGAAGGTAAAATTAAGGATTTCAGAATTTTGGATTGGGATACTCAACCTACAACAACAACAAAAATTCTTTAAAAAATATATATACTTTTAATATAAAGTTATGAAAAAATAAAATGTTTACTTGTTGTTATAATTATTATAAACAATTATTTGTTTCAAAAAGAAATTGTAACATCCTTATAGTAAATCATGTACAGTGGTACCTCGGTATACGTCTGCTTTAGAATACATCCATTCTGGAAAATTTGTTTCGTCCTGTTTTTGCTCGGTATACAAATTTTGCTCGGTATACGACTTAATTCAATTATACGCGCCATCTATGAACAAGTAGCACTATCAGTGCACTAGACCAGACTAGACGTTCGCGGTGCCACAGTTTATAACTTTGTTAAATTTTTTCTGATTTTAAATTTTAAGTAAAATTTTATTATTTTTATTAATCATGAATTGCAAAAAGGCAAGTGAAAAGCAACAGAAAACTAAAAAAATGACTAGAATCACAATGGAACTGAAAAAAGAGATTGTTGAGGAATATAAAGGTGGTATGCGTGTTTGAGATTTAACTGTTGCATACTGTATTCCAAGAATGATGATATCGGCAATTGCGAAAAATAAAGACATTATTAAATCTGCTAACGTTGCGAAAGGAGTTAAATCAATTTCTAAACAGAGATCGAAGACGTTAGATCATGTTGAGAAATTGCTTTTGCTTTGGATAACTGAAAAACAGTATGCTGGCGACATCGTATCGGAAGAAATTATTTGCGAGAAAGCTAAAAAGATACATGCTGATCTCATGAAAAATCAAGCAGGAACTAGCCAGGAAAGCGAGGTGTTTAAAGCCAGCCATTTTTTTCATGAGAATGGATTAATCATTTTTACATTACTTCTTATGGGAAAGGTTGGTTTGGTATACGTCCTATTTGGTATAAGTCCAAACATTAGGAATGGATTAAGGTCATATACTGAGGTTCTGCTGTATAAGGTATTTTTCTAATGTTATATCAATATTTCTGCGTAATATTTTCAAACATTCATATAAATTTTTAATAATAATAATTACCAAAAAGTTAAAAAATTCAATCATAATATATTAAGAACAGATAATATTTTGCAAGTAACATAATCTTAACTTAAATTTAATATAATGTTAATGTAATAATTTTGCATCATACTACAGTAATTTGATAATGAAATACAAATACTTTCATTAAAAATTGTAATTATAGAATAATAGTATGATAAAATGACTAAAGTTTGAACTTAATGTACTGTACACCCATTCAGAACAGTATTATGTTCTTACTAATAGAAGGCATTCATTTTAAACAAAGCAATTATTTCTACAAGAATTCTCTACCTAAATTTTATGTTTTGGTTATTTAACTGTGGCACACAACAATAATCTTTGGAGCGTTTTTGGGTCATTTTAAATTATTTCAAACACAGGTTACTCATAAATCTGATTGTTTGTGTTAAATATAAAATTTAACACTAGAGGATGTCAGTTTGGCTGGAATTGCCAGTTGTTTCATATTGATTCTTAAAGTAATTATAACATAACTAGAAATTCCCCCAACAAGCATGATGGAATACTTTTTATGAGAAAGTAGAGATTGAAGAATTGAGAAGAGTAAAGTTGAGCTTGACGTTGTGATGCTGTTCCTGCAGCCCTTGACAAAGCCGTTCTTACTCTATGTTGATCAAGTTGGACTTTGCAGCCTTCAGGGGTCTCAGTTGTTCTTATTCTTTTAGATCTAAAATTTACCTAACCAAATTCACTCTCTTGCATTCCCTTAGGTTTCTTTTTTCAAAATGGCAATTTTTTTTAATTCCATATTGATAAAACAAAGGTGAATTGTTTGTATGTTGTTTAGAAAGTGTTATGCTCATCTAACTAACAGGCTCATTACGTTGTTACTTCCAATTGGATAATAGAACATGACGTAGTCACTATGGCAAGATTTTTTTAAAAATTTGGTATAGAAGTGACACACTGCAGTTATCTTTTTTTTTAAAATTTAATGAAGTAAGTTTAAAATATGCCATTTGCCAAAATACTTTAAAATTCAACTTAAGGAAAATTCCGTCGTCAAGCATGAATGTGGTCACTGACATTACTACAATGTAGTACAATCATTGATCCAAAATTGATAAAACATTTATTCTATAGCTAATGTTTCTGCAAAATAAGTAGCTTGTACTTTCCATCAGAAGATAAAACAAATAAAACCAAAATTTCATGTGGATTGGACAAAAATTGCAGGAGTTATAATGAATTCACATGCATGCACATAAATGACGGCTTTTATATTGCTAATGAATAAAACAAATTCAGCCTTTCAAAATTATTGAAATTTTGGGACTTTTTAAAAATGATTTCCTACTTCATTTTACTTTTATTGATATAAAATGTATGAAATATCAGTAGGTTATACTTATTCCGTAATAGTGAAGATTAAAATTTGATTAAAATTTTGATTATTTTTAAGTAAACAAAATTTAAATTCAAGTTATATGCAAAATATGTGTAAATCATCATTTGTATATTTAGAGAGAGTAATTATTTTAATTTCAAAACATAATTTTAGGCAAAGGAGAAAGAGAATGCAAAAACTCAGTCCTTAGAAACAAAAAAAGAACTAGAAGAATGTCAAAGGCATTTATCTCAGGGGTAAGTTTTCTACATTTCCTACAGGTTTGCTTCAGATTATATATTCTGTACTTCTATAACATATTTAATTAAAATTTTGATTTGTTTTAAAGGAATAACAGATTAAAAGAGTTAGAAGCACAACTTAATTTGTCAAAAGATACAATAGCTCGTCTTGAATCTGAAAGAACAGAACTGTGTGTAAAAGTAAGTTTAGAAATTATTTTAAAATATTTTTATCTCTGTTGCTGATGATTATAATGCATACATAAAAATGAAATAGACAGACACACTCTACTTTTCTTTACGGAATAAATGTGTTATATTCTAATTTAAAAATAAAAAACCATTTAACTATCTAGCAAAATTCTTTAACAACATAAAAACGTTTTCAAACGCATTGAGCATTTATCATCATGTGAGCCACCTGGAGGGAAGAGGAGTCCTCTCCTTCCAGCCACTGGTCGGTGACCTACTTTCTTGTCAGGGATGGTAGTAACGTTTGGTTACGCGTTATGCGAGTGGAGGAGAGTTACGGGGCCGACGATAAGGCGTTGGCATAGTCGAATAAAGACACCATTTTTCTAAACTAACAATTTATTAGAAACAAATAATAAAACAAACGTTCTAACACAGTACGTCGCATTCGCGTATGAGAGAGAGAGCTTACAATAAAGCGTTCATACCTCTTGCGATGATATCGAAGGTCTTTAATTTCTGAAAGGCGGGATCCAAGTTGATGGTTGGGATTGAAGGTCTTCTAATATGTGGTGCGGCCGGTTAGAGGGAAGCGAAACTCTATCTTGATGGCGCAATGGCGACTTCTTGATTAGCGACTCCCCGGAGAGGGGGAAGGAGGATGGCTTTTATACCTTTTTGGTGGGAAAATTTGTCAGGTGATCAATTGTTCAAGCAGGTGTGGGGTTAAAGGTGGTGTTAGAATGACAACAATATGACGAATTTCGCCGATAACTGTAAACTATATACGGTTTGATCGTGAGAATGTTTATATTAAAACAAAAAGAGTTATAATTCTCTCATGTACTTTATATTTCGTTTTTGTAGGGTCAAATTCCTTTGGTTGAGGGCATTTTTATTTTAAACTTATTAAACTTTTAAAGTACTAAATGCTTTTATTAACTTCGAATTTTCACATCAATGAGCACTGATTAGTATTGTTGGCTTAGAGCCCTAAAAGATGCCTCT